GCACTCGATAGACATATGTAAGGTAGCCAGGTATTTGGCGGGCCAAAGCGGGACGCTTTACCTATTCCCCTGTTGTTTCAGCATAGGCAGACCATACAAAAAATGGAAGAGCTAAATACCTACATGCATCACTTCAGTGCAATAACAAAGAGTACATACGTCATTAGTCAGTACAATGGCTGCGCTGCTGAAGTTTTCATGCTGCTTGATGTTTTATGTTTTTGAACCATAGTTGTAGAGTAATACTTCTCTGACAAATGTATTTATCATAGTAAATATGGGCGCTGGATCAGCATGCCGCGAATTCGTTCGCATGGAGACCTAAGAAACTTGTTCACAAAATTGCATTTCGTCATAAGCATCGCTTTCAGAGTTTAAACGCTAAGCTGCGTTGTCGCGCTCGTCCATACAGTGTCCATGTGTGAGAAGATTCCAGGAGCGAGTTTTTGGGGTGGTGATACAAAACGAACTCCCCTGTACAGCGCAGTATTCAAAGGCGTGCAAAAACGCGAACCAACATGTTGGTCACCTAAGGAAGGTATTAAGGCAGTTCGCCCTCCATCTTCACCAAAATAATCAATGCGAGGCCCCACGTGTGATGGCAGCTGAGACAGGGAGCGGAGGCAATCGATGGGGTATTGATGGCCTGGGGGCCAATCAGACGAAAGCTGAGCACGCACGACTGGCCCGGGCCAGCGGTCGATCAGACGATCGATCGAGCGGACGAGTGAGTTTTCAAACACCCAGCTAATTGTACTTTGCCTCAGACTTGGGACTAGAGCGTTTGTGTGCAGAGCCGGTGCGAGTTCTTTCGGTTGACTCGGTTAGGTGAACCAGGCACACAACATGGTGACAGAGGAGAAGCTGACGCGCCGGACTCTGCTCGCTTTTGGCGGACAGCCGTCGATCCCGCTGCCAACTTCTCTACAGATGACGGAAAGCACGCTGCCTGACAACCGGAGAATGTGGAAAACGAAGTGGACAGATTCCGTCACGCTGACTCAATTGGATTCCTATCGGATGCCTTACCAACTTGCTATGTTCAGATACGCGATTGGCGACAAAGCAAGACGAGTACTTGATACTCTGGATCGCGGTGATGCGGAGGAGAAGGGGCCGGACATTACGGAGATAATCAAGATATTTGGTGACTATTGCGAAGGTCAGGCAAAATGAAATGTACCAAAGATATCTGTATTTTGGTTGCAATCGCCTACCGGAGGAGACAGTCGGGACCTACATTACAGAATTGAAAGCCCTGACGCGAAAGTGTAATTGTATGCGGGACTCTCTGGTAACCGACCGCATCATAATCGGAAATGAACGACCTCACTCGACCTCTTTTGAGGCAGGAAAACTCGCACATAAATCAGTGTGTGGATACGTGTCTTAGCGAAAAAAGAACGTCACGACAGTTACAGAATATGCGGGCAAGCACGAAAAAAGGACTTTGGGTGTAACCAGCCAGAAAACACTGGCACTCCTATGACGTGTTTGGAAGTTATTCCATCTCATCAGATAGAGATAGCAGGCATCGAACCCGAGACCATTGGGATGTAAGTTGTGACCGCTACCCCTGGGATCATGATTAGTTATAAAGTTCATACAGTATTTCGATGTTGTCCGTGCACTGGATGGCCCTCGTTAACTGGCCTCTAACGTCAGTTGCACCCCACTGGTTTGTGTTCGTTCTGCCGATGCACAATGACATTGGTTACATTGGACCGGGTTCGTTCCGCGTGATCAGTTCCACGACTACCCTCTGATTTGTCACTCATCTAATCGGCTGATGCTTCCTCCGTTGACCATCTGCCATAGCCGCGCACGTTGCTACAATGGTCTCAGGTGTATATCATCCACTCGCCGTATGACGGACCAATTCCATTTGCCGTTTGCTATCGCGCTATACCGGACCAGTCGTGCGTGCACGAATTTACCCTGATTGGCCCCCAGTCCATCGGTGCTGTTTCGAATCCATCCTCACTCCGAGGGATAAAGAGAAACAGATGGAGAAGAAAGAAGGGTGGCGCCAACAGTAGCAGGTTTTCGTTTATCCGCCCTGCTGTATGCGGTAGATAAGGTGGCGGCTGATGCAGGATGCGGTTGAAGAAATAGTCATGGTTGTACGTGGGGTGATACCACCGGGGCGTCCAGACCTAGGCAGGGGAACGATTAGGGTCATTAACCAAAGCTTTGGCTTAAAACCCTATAAACAAGGCAGCGGGGTGGTGGCAATGATGGGCTTTTACAGAAATCGACGCCATCCCATTTCAAACCCAAACCTGGAGCACCAGAAGATCGAGTTTGTCTGACGTCTAACCATTCACCAACCTGGTGGGAGTAGCTCCCCAGGAGTACCACGCAGTATAGCTCAATGGGTCAAGGAAGTAAGCAAACCGTCTCCACAAGTTAACGTCCAATCTCGTTAAGACTCACATCGTTCGCCTTGCCAGCCGTGGACGCAGATTAGTCACACCGCCAGCAAGGAACTATAAGTTTGCAAAATCTCTTGTTAATCTACCAGCAGCTTCTCAGGATTTTCCGATTTCACCATTCTTGCTTAGCTTTGAAGGTGTCCAGAATTATGGAGTTGAGCTTTCCACAACTGGCAAGGTCTCGGAATTGAATTAGATAGGTGATATAGCTTTGCCGTTGGACGATTCACAAGCCACCCAAAACATCTCAAACCCCTTAGTGACAGATCATCCTAAGCATGATGTGTATAGTATAAGTTCAAATGTAAAGATTTGCCTCAGGATTGTTAACTGTCTGCGCCCATCACTGCAAGTGGCAAACTGGAGTGAGTTGAAAGTCCTAGTTATATGAGACGTTGCGTCACGACTGGTGGTGTCAGATAATAGGCTACACAACGAATTGTTAAGGTGTGCTTTGCACTCAATGGCCCGGTTCAACTGCACCGTCGTGACGTGTCAAATTCGAGCTCAATACCTCAGCCGATACGCCCCCGTTGTACAGTAATGAGAGGCAATCCATCCCCTTGGAAAATTTCAAACAATTATCATGCTTTGATAATCGTTGTCTACGAAGGATTGATTTGTGTCGCCATCGCCACACAAGCAATAAGGAAGTTCGAAGCCGTCGCCATGTACCAGAAAATCCCTGTCACCAAAGCACTAGTCAACAATGTTCACGCACTGTGTATGCTAATCCACCGCCTTCTTTGGCACGCATTAGTTGCACTTTCTGGATGGGAGGGAAAAACGTCGCGGCAATCAATCACTGAGGTGGAAAAAGAGCATGGGGAATGTGACCATGTTTAATCTCAGTCGTGTCTGTCCGACGCGGATACCCCATGGGTAGAAATTTTGCATGTTACGACTAGTGTGGATGTCAGCCAACCGCTTGGCGGCAAACCATGAAATCGCTGACCTCCAGTCTCGTCACTGCCGGCCTTGTACGTCTTCCTGCTGGGGGACAAAGCATGAGGATTGCCAATGGCTGGACACAATTGGCGATATGGCGCGAAAACGGAATCAATGGAAGTACTGTACATGGAAATGTTTTGAACAATGTGACCAGAGCTATACCGTCCAAAATGCCAAAAAGAGAATAAAATGGCGTGGGAAAACAAAAAAGTCAAAGAGCCCAAAATATTTGTTCCGTGTTCCTGAGATTCGTACCTTTTTATTTTGTTCCTCATAGTTTCTCGATGGTTCAATGTCTATTTATAGACCGATGGAAATATATATATATATATATATATATATATATATATATATATATATATATATATATATAAAGCAGCGACAGAAACCAATGACTTAGATGGGGGTTTCGATGTTTAGTCTCTATGCATTGTGCAGCTTTGGGTAACAAAACAACAAAGAAAGAAAAGCGGCTAGTGAGATACCGAAAGTGGACTGCTTCGCTTTGTTCCCCGTTGTGTTCTCTTTGGATATGTTATTTCCTTCCATTCAAGGCACTGTTCTGACGGTGCAATGGTCCATAGATTGGAGAACAAATATAAACACACAAACCTACATCAGTTTGATCGCGCTTGTGAGATAACCTCGGTTTGACACAAGTTAAACTTACTGCCGCAAGCTGGTATTATCTGCACATTTTATGAATCTCCAATTTGCAATATTAGAGTGCACTGAGTGCACATTTAGAGTGTCACTTTCTCCTATGCTACCATTGGTGCGCTCAAGATCTGAGGAGTGGATACCACACCAGCTTGCCACCATCCGTCGCATATCCGCAGGATACAAGAGAGGTCCAAGCTCGCCTGTAGCTGAGCATGGTGACAACGCAATCCCCATCGTGTGCCACTAACCACGCACAACAGAGTACCACAGAAATCAAGGAAATTTCGCCAACCACTCCAGAAACGAGTGGAGTCAAGAAATACCTGCGCATCGGATTTTGCATCAAAAGATTCCGGCGAGGCGCAGCAGCAAATGGTGAAAAACATACAATGAGGTTATCACTTGAAAGGTTAAACCAAAGATTTTCCTTGAACGCATGCCCATTCTAAGCTTCTCATCCACCGACAACATCTATCCACGGCGGCTGAACAGAAGAAACGTACAGAGTTCCCCAGCACCGAAGGAGTCGGCTATTTCCACACAGAGCGATTTATTATTCGATTTAAAAAATCACTGTTCACAGGTTGCTAAAATAGTGCAACAAATAGCCAAACAGACGTCGACAGGGATCAGGCGAATGAAGAGGTAAAGAAGAAAATGATAAGAGATATGCGGAATGCTGCCTAGAGTCAGGTGACTGTGTCTATGTTCTTACACAGAAGCATGAAAATAAACACAGCATTGAGAGTGCTTCGTGAATGAAGCAAACGATAGAACGAGAAAGGAGAGATGAAAGTATTAAAACACAGTGCTGAAACATGTTGAGGAGAACAGACGACAGTCGGTGCGAATAGTGTTTGGCCTGAAGAATTGAGTGTAGATAGGATGTTGTAAGTAGACGGCGGTGTGAGAAAGATGGACGTGACGTGATGGAACACAGGGATAAACATTTTATTCTCTGTGCTCACTATACAATTGCTTGATGACCGGAGCAAAGTGCCTGCGAACAATGGGTCGAGAAACCTTCATCGTGGGAGTCAACAATCCGCTGGCAACTGTAAATGGCTCGGCACTGAGGTGCAAGGCTTTGGCCTAAAAAAGAAAGAGTTGTGGTGTGTAACATCCGATATACAACACCGATCATACAACAGTGATAACACACAATGGAATATTTTGCGATCCAAGTAGTGTAAAACCTATGACCTGCAAATCGCAATATTAATCGTTGTCTATTTACATTTGTGTGGGAAGTAGCGAAAAACGAGTTTACCCCGGAAGCATTTCAAACCGAAATAACTACCATGGAGTGCCCTCACAGCCATCTTGGGTGGTAGCTGATGATGGATTTGCTAACCGTACAATTCGTACATATTGACTGCGTGATATTGACCATACTACGTGTTGGCATGCACCCGAATAACTTTGAATAGAGAAAGGTCGTGTGTCAAATACACCATTGACTTTAAGAATGAGTGAGATGATTTGCTTTTCTGCATTGAGATCGACCAAATGAATTCTCGCAGAAGACCGATCTATGGGCAATAGTAAGTAAGCAAGCAACCAAAGGATCTTCATAACGTAGTGAGGGGGATAACAACCCGGCAACACCACTACCACATGTTACATTATAGCGGACAGGGTGAGATTTAAAACAATGGTCATCATGGTAGATAATATGGGAAATCGACACCAATAAGCCAAACCAAATAAGTCATAATTTAGTAGTCCGGTACGCCTGATACTGCAGCTGGTGCTACAACACGTCGGGCGAAGAGAGACGTTGTACGTTAGACCGGCACCGTCCAATTGCAGACAATTCAAACAAAGCATTTGATTGTTCAAAGTTGGAATCGTGCATGTAATTAGAAAATCCAGTGCCAAACACGAGATGTGATTGAGGAACATTCCCATAGTTGTCAATGTGTTGGACACCAGCGAGAAGCAAGCAGGTCAAAGGTGCCTGATGGCGGTCAGATACGCGCCCACAAAGACGGCCTGAGTAACGCTACAGCATGAGTTGTTTCCCAACGCTGTCTCAGTGCACTGCTAGTGCTGATGCGAAAAATCAAAAGGTACTCATCGTAAGCAACCTCAAACCAATGGAACATCCGCAACACTACGCTGAATCTTTGCTCATTGCGAATTGCTAGGTGATGAAGAAAGAAAAAACAAAAACTGGAGGTAAGTCGATAGAAATCCCCTGGAAAAACGCAAAATCTAACCAGGACTATCGGATAGCACAAAGTTGAGGCTAACAGCTGATAAAGTGGAAGGGGTCTTTTGTCGTAGGATTTGTGGAAAATAGCACACATACGTCAAATTCGTATAACGATGAGTTAGGTTAAAGTGTTACTTATGCAGTGAAGAATGGAAAGTAAAGATTGAGTCATTTCGCGCTCACTTTTGTGTACCTAATGAGTAAGATGTTCATGAGTCTAACCTGCAGTACACCACTCGGTTAAAGTTAAACTTAACCCAAAAATAGTGCTACAGACACATTCCACGAGCTCAAATAACACATCAACAAACGGTTTCCACGGTGATTAATGACCATTCAAAAGGTTCCGATGGCTTAGTAGATGAATTCGGTTGATGCTTACGCAAACGCACACTGAATAAAGGTCAAGGTCATCAACCGAGACTACGAGGACCCGATAAGTTGAACAACACCAAGGACCGAGGGACTAAGTAACTGATGTTAAAAATGGTCGGTTGAAGTTACCGGTTTGTAAGAAAGCAGCACATTTCGTAAAACCTACCTGTTCGAAGCCTTTAAGGCCGCCAGACTTTCCAATTTGTGTAAGTTCATCGAGAACCAACTGAGAAATCAGAGGATGTTTACACAATTCGGTATCATTCAAATCTGGTGTCGGTAGTTTTTGGCCCCGAGGTAGCTTCAGAGAACTGAGAGTGCCATTAGAACACCATGTCACTAAGCGTTTGCGCAATTCTGTTAGATTTGGTACAATGATTGCAATGAGGAATGACCGACGAGAGTCGCCATCGACAAAAACGTGCTCGACCAGGAGGCTTGAAGCGTACACTTCTTCCACCTTCTTCGGAGTGACATATTCTCCTTGGGATAGTTTGAAGAAACTTTTGCGTCGGTCGACCACCTTCAATGAACCACACTGTGAACGAAAGCACACAGGATGAATAAGGTAATACATACGACGCACACAGCTGTGAATCATCATCGGAAGCTATCACATTCTCAACATGATCTCAGTGAATGGGTGAAAGGAGATGGAACATTTCTGATAACGGAGGACTGATACAGTGGACCAAGTAGTCTAATATGGTTGATGCAGTCGGATGGTTAAACGGCCGCATGCCAGTCAGCACGGACATCCATTTGCAACCAAAGCAAGGGAAATAGTAAAAAACAAATCTGTTAAAAAGACCGGAGATTGCTTCGCAAAAAGCCGCTCGTTCACATGTGATTGACTGTTGAAAGGCAGCGAGCGTTCCAAGCGTGTAATGTAGGATTTCATGGGGACTAACAACTCCGAGCGTCGGTAATCAAACTAAGTGACGGTCAATATCGATGAAAAAATGGCGGGACTTGCAATGCAAGCTCATACCCGAGCCAGTTAGTTCGTCTGCAACAGAGTTGACGAAAGTAGAAGCGAGTCGAGTATAGAAAGAAAAGAAGTCGGAAGTATGATACTCCGTAAACATCACAACAAATGCACAAATTTCGCAAACCACTTCAGAAACGAGTGGAGTCAAGAAATACCTGCGCATCAGATTTTGCATCAAAAGATTCCGGCGAGGCGCAGCAGCAAATGGTGAAAAACATACAGTGAGGTTATCACTTGAAAGGTTAAACCAAAGATTTTCCTTGAACGCATGCCCATTCTAAGCTTCTCATTCATCGACAGCATCTATCCACGTCGGCTGAACAGAAGAAACGTACAGAGTTCCCCAGCACCGAAGAAGTCGGCTATTTCCACACAGAGTGATTTATTATTCGATTTAAAAAATCACTGTTCACAGGTTGCTAAAATAGTGCAACAAATAGCCAAACAGACGTCGACAGGGATCAGGCGAATGAAGAGGTAAAGAAGAAAATGATAAGAGATATGCGGAATGCTGCCTAGAGTCAGGTGACTGTGTCTATGTTCTTACACAGAAGCATGAAAATAAGCACAACATTGAGAGTGCTTCGTGAATGAAGCAAACGATAGAACGAGAAAGGAGAGATGAAAGTATTAAAACACAGTGCTGAAACATGTTGAGGAGAACAGACGACAGTCGGTGCAAATGGCGTTTGGCCTGAAGAATTGAGTGTAGATAGGATGTTGTAAGTAGACGGCGGTGTGAGAAAGATGGACGTGACATGATGGAACACAGGGATAAACATTATATTCTCTGTGCCAAAGCGAGAAATCATCCGCTTTAACGGGGATCCCATGCGTCACTGGACGTTTATTCGCAAGTTCCAATCTAGTGTGATGAATGCTATGACGAATCCGGAAATAAGGCTGTCCTACTTGATGAACTGTTGTGAAGGACCCGCTAGAGAAGTGATCGAAAGTTGTGTAATCCTAGACCCCGAGGAAGGCTTTCGAGACGCATTGGAAACTGAGAGCTAGATTCAGTCGTTCGCACTTAATTGCTCGGGCTCATAGTGACGATTTGGTGAAGGGATCTCAAATGAGAGTCAACGCTTCCGAGGAGCTACACAAACTGACTACGCAAATGAAGGCATGCATGAGCACACTCCAGTAGCTGAATTACGAAGCCGATTTAAATGCAACCGTAACAGCAGCAGCAGCAGTCATTAGGAGGCTAAGGTTCGCTTTGCAGCTCAAGGGGTCAAAAAAGGTCACCGGTTTAAGTCGGTCGGGAAAAGAGCCTACTATCACAGATCTGCACCAGTTCGTTTTCGAGTGTGCCGAAGTTGCGGAAACTCGGACGATGTATTTGATTATGGTGCAGAGGCGAGAATGGTTTCAACGGACGAATCGACTAGAAACCCGGATTAAGGCATTTATCTTGTTTCCCCGGCCGGAGGAACAAGATAAATGCCTTATCAAAGAAAGAATTGATACAGCCGAGTCATCGAGTTCTACCGCCTTTTTTGGTATGCACAGAGAACCATTATTTGGACCGATGTTCCCGGTTTCTATCCATGGATGATGTTCAACAATTAGCGGCTGTACCTCGGAATGGTTTATGTTTGTTGTGTATGGAGCCGAATCACTCGTCGGATAGTTGTAAATCTCGGTACGCTTGTGGGATAGATGGCTGTCAGCTAAAACATAATCCTTTACTGCACAGTGCAAGCACAATTCAAACAGCTTCACCGCGTGCTGCAGTTACTTAAACGGTAGTGTCCGTTGGTCAGGTTGCTTTGAGAGTGACTCCCGTCAAGATTTGTGGTAAAGATAAGACGATATTTACAAATGCATTGTTGGATCCAGGGTAAGAATCATCACCCGTAAAAGAACAACTATTACGGTAGCCTAACCTACTGACTGAACCATAGTTAGTTGGAATATCCACTGTCAACAGTGACACGCAGGTTTACTCATACGTAGCCAAGCTAAAATTACTGCCATTGGACGGAGAGAAACCTCTTTACAAGGATCATGACTGGTCCGTTAAAATGATGCCTCACGTCAAACGAATTATACCAGAGTCAAAATGTCTGGAACGTTGGACACATTTAAAAGACCTGAAATTTCCGGATAGCTACGAAGAAGGCATAGGTGTCCTTATAGGCATGAACGTCCCAGAGGCCCATTGGGCGCTCGAGCATAGATATGGGAAACCCTCCGAACCATTTGCTATACGGACTCCTTTGAGTTGGGTTCTGCTCGGTCCAGTCGGGAGTCAAGGCGCATGGAGCATCTGTACGAACTCCATTTCGGTGGATGATCACAGGTCCGCCTTTCTCAAAAGGATGTAAGACCTAGAGTTTACTGAGCCTCGGAATGTCCGTAGAAGATGAGCAAGCTTTAAGGCAAATTGAATCATCCGTTATCAAGTGTGGTGCCCATTATCAACTCAGCCTATACCATAGAGGAGCGAGTGCTCGAATCTTCCGAGTAATTATCCCGTCGCTTATCGTAGACTAATGTCCCTTCAGAATAGGTTCATCGTGAATACTGAACTACGTCAGGTAAACACAGCTGCCATGGAGGAATATCTATAAACGGCTTCGTGGAGTTATTTGACGCTGAATTATTTGGCAACAAGAATGGAGCGTGGTACATACCATATCACGCTGTGACGCACCCAAACAAATCAGGCACAGTCCGCGTTGTGTTCGATTGTGCTAGTACTTACCAAGGAACCTCGTTAAATCAACAGTTGTTGAAAGGATCAGATTTGACAAACAATTTGGTTGGCGTGCTATTAAGATTTAGACTTAGTGCTGTCGCTGTAACTGCCGACATTGAAGCGATGTTTCATCAGGTGAAAGTCGCACCGAAGGATAGGGACTATCTACGTTTTTTGTGGTGGCCTAATGGACAGATTGATGGGTCCCCGAAGGTATTCCGCATGGCAGTCCATCCATTTGGTGCAACCTCATCTCCATGCTGTGACTTGTTTGCCCTCAGGAGAACAATTGACGACAGCAGAAGTGTACCCAGATCTAACGTTCTCTGTAATGCAACAAAGCTTTTACGTTGATGATTGTCTATTCAGTTACAATAGTCGAGAAGTAGCCCAACGTTTCACTACTCAATTTCAGAAAATTGCATCCAGAGGAGGCTTCCGTTTAAGCAAATGGAAGTGCAACGGCTGTAGGGTACTGCGAGAATCATCGATGAACAAATCTGCTTGCGATTCTGTCAAGTTAAATTTACCATCCAATGACGTGCACCCTACATCGGGGCTAATCTGGAACCTGACCGGTGATTGCATATGCTTTAGTACAGCAAAATTGGTAAGGGATTGTTCCCATCGGTCAATTCTGTTTTTTGTCGCATCGATTTGCGATCCAATGAGGCTGGTTGCTCCGGTACTGCTCCAAGCCAAGCAACTCCTACAGTCGTTCGTCCGGAAAGGAATGGCATGGGACGCGCCGCTCAATGAGTCAGAACGGGATGAGTGGCTCCGATTTTTAAACGATATTCGTTTGTTGGAACAGTTAAATTTCCCGAGAGGCATTATCGCGAGACACTTTGTTGGCGGTACAATACAGCTACATTGGTTCTTAGATGCTTCAAAGGCTGGGTTTGGTGCAGTGCTTTACGCAAGAATCGTGGGTCCAGATAACCCATTCCAAACTTCCCATCTAATGGGGAAGTCTCGTGTACCCCCAATAAAAATGACCACAATACTTCGCGTAGAACTTATAGCTGCCGTTCTTGGCGTTCGATTAGCTACTCAAGTGTCATGAATAAAAGAACAACTGGCGTTTTGGACGGATTCCATGGTCGCACTGTAGCTCATACGTTGTACGACTTGACGATTAGCGACGTTCGTAGCGAATAGAGTTCCTGAGATTCAGCAGTGTTCTCATCCAACTCAGTGGAAGTATGTCAAAACATCAGAGAATCCAGCGGACTTTGCTTCCCGCGGTTTCCGTGCGAGCGACGAATCACAAATGCAGATGTGGCTCAGTGGCCCTGACTTCCTACATCGTCACCAATGTCAATGGTCAGAATCGCTTTTAACTTTGAGTGATTTGAAGATGGAATGGCTGAAAAGGATGTTTGGGTCCAGTGCGTATCAACTACAAAGATTTGGTTAGAAACATTTGCGAATTGTGGCAGTTGGATCATACTGAAGAGGCACATTGCAATTTTGCTCAGATTTAAGCGCTACTTGACGAAGGTACAGCGGAGGTCCAACCAATCCTATCAAAGGTCGCTTAACACTACCCGAACTGAAAGAACATGAATTCGAAATAGTGCGGAACGTAGAACGTAAAATTTTTGCGAAAGAGATTGATGTATTGAAATCTAACCAGTCGAACGAATCTATTAGACGCCTTAAACTTTCATCCAGTCCGCTGACGGGACTTTGTATATTCTTGGACGATGATATTCTACGAGTAGGTGGGAGACTGAATTGGTCCCCATTGCCCTATGACGCCAAACATCCTATTTTACTACCAACTGGACACTTTAGGACTCGCCACATCATGGTATGTCACCAGAGCAATGGGCATGCCGGAACTTCCTACGTGCTCTCTGAACTACGCCAACGCTATTGGATATTATGTGGTGTTTCATCA